GTGAACAAGGCTAGAGGCTAAACCGTTCAGCCGACTTTGCCCAGAATTTATATTTCCCAATTGATCTGGCTGATGTCGCGGCCCTTTGAATTTGAAACCGATTTATTAATTTTGGGGGAATCTCCAGAGACATTTTCAAAATTTTCAAAACAATTGCTTCATTTTGTATTAATTTTATTATTTTATTTTGTATTTATTTGTTTATTAAAATATTGTTGTTGAATCGTGTCAAGGATGTTTAAAAAATGGTGAAGGTTTCATTTTCGTTGAAAACTCAATTTTCGAAAATTGCAAAAATTCAAAATGTTTTGGTCGTCTTACTACGACTACAATTATGAAGATAAATATTTTTCTCTTAATGAAATCTGTTTCTTAAAAATAGATTTTAAAATAAGGTCACGTACAATTTTTCAAAATTTGAGGGTTTTCGCGTGATTTTGCCAGAAAATACGAGCGAGAAAGTGCGTGCTGTTGTATCATCACTAGTTCCTTTCTGTGGCGGATCTCCTTCTGGAGACGAATGGGCGGTAGTTTGCTCTGATATCCATGCTCTCTTTATCAATAGAGGCGCATCCTCCCCAATTCTCTTGACCCGCGTTGGAATTGTAGTGTGTCTGCCTGAGGCTGCGTGTTAAAATGTAAACGATTCGCGTGTTTATTTGATGTCAATGATTTACCACTTCCAGATAAATGCTAAGACCTACAAATTTGTCCAGTGGGTTGACTAGCTTTTCATAAGGGAGAAATTATTCAGGCGGGTACTCTTACATTCCCTTCTATGCAGATTATACTTCTTGGCCACGACCGCATATTTTGCTTATAACTCGCGTTAGTTGCCACTGCGTTTCAGAAACGATGCGAAAAAAGGGCGACGCGAGATGGAATAATGAGGAGACCTCGAATACTTCAAGCCGCCTAAATTTATCGCCGCTGGAATAGTTTTATAGGCCATAGACATGTGCTTCAGTTTTACAGTTTCAAGCATTTATGCAGGTTTGTCAATCAAGTTTTCGTAACCTTAAATAATGTAATCTTGAATAACTTACCTCGTTAATAACTTCCGTTGTATAGTTTATCCGCAACATTATCCCGCCTATCTTTCAATTTGAGGAAACATTTGAAATACGCTGGAATGTGAGCTCGTTCATATTTTTTATCCAGATTTAATTTTTTTCGTTGAACAAAAGCTGATATAATCCGTCGTTTTGCTTCTGGAGAACAATTGGTATTTTTGCTTAAAACATTTTGGGTTTTTGTTATTTTTACAAATAACTGCAGTAAAAATAATGATTAAAATTCCGAAATGTATACAAAACATTCCATGTGTTTTGAAACGTAATACATTTATATCCCATTGTATGTAAAACAATGTTATTACAGTAATACGGAAATTTATGAAATACTTGCGCGAACACGATAAAGGTAAAGGATGCTATGACTTTCTTTCAAATTCATTTCATTTTGTGGCATCAATTGAATGCAATATCAATTGCAATATCATCTGTTGGTTGGTTTAAGCAGTGTAACAGCCATGTGACTGGGAATTAATTTGGACGTAACTTGCTTAAAAAATAATTGTATTTGATACGTCATTTGATTAAAATACACTTTGAACTTGACCAAACAATCTAAAAGATTCCAACATTTGTTCATAGCACAAATACAAGTAATTTACTACAGTATTTACAATATTTTTATGCACAATCGCTCTTAGTCTCTCTGCTATTGTTCCAAATACATCCGTTTTTTTGCTAATCTGTATATTGAGTCCTAAATTAAGTAGCTCATACTTTACTATCTAATCCAATGTACTTGAGTCGTGATATTGTCTCCGAGAGGAAATCAGGCTTCCGTGCAAAGTAAGGGCATGGGGCCAAATAAAATATTATATATACATTGATATTTGAGTAGCACTATTACTTATAATTGATGTTCAAAAACGAAATACCATTTGGCACTCGACTGTTCACTGACAACTCGTAGTCCGCTTTCCCAAAATATCAGAACCCGACATGTTTCACATACTAGGGCCCCGCAAGTGACTTGATTTTGGAAACAAAGTAACTTGCAAAATTGAAAATGTTAATGTACGATATAAATTAAGTGTGATAAATAAGTGTTCGAATTATAATAAAAATGGGATGCGTTGCGACTCGTCTCCTCCCCTTCCCTTCCATGAACTCAGCAGCGATGTACAGTTCTCCACTCTCATCAGACGCGGTCATGATGCCTGATGTCGCTACTTTGTGGCCACGACCGTTTTGTTCAACTTCGACTAGATTCAAATACTATGTGTTGTAGTTGTGGTAAGTCCTGATGTTTTTTACACGACCGAATTCGCGACTCAACAATTCCGTCACCCGACAACCCAGTCAGCATGCTACCGTAAGAGAATATCCCCACCGACCGGACACTCACAAATTTGCAGGAATGATTGCGGTTTGATCACTTTCCTGTGATGAAAAGGAGGGAAAGAAGGGGAACTGGGAAATGTTCTAGATAACCAGAAGGGGATAAAAATTCCACTGGAAATTATGTCAGGTCTACTCTTTTGATCAAATTTTATGATCGGATCAAAGACGTTCACTTCGATGTTTACTTTTCAGTGTTCTTAATCGTCACCGCATTAAATTTAATGCAGTCGGTTGCTCTCCTTCTTCTTTCAAAACCAAATGAAATTAAAAATATTGTTTCTACGTGATAAATGTAAATATATAAATGTTTCAAAAATATGATTCAGAATTATGTAAATATATACATTTTTGAATAAATTGTTTCAGAATGCGACTGGCTGTATCAAGACTTCCTGTGCAAAGAACCTGGTTCTTGTGTTATTGCGAGTCCTGGCTATCCAGGACTTTATCCTCCAAACAAACTCTGCAAATATCATATCACCACCAGTTCCATCCAGACATTAGTGCACATCACGTTTACAGCCTTACTCCTGCCATACAAGTGAGATACAAAATTTTCATAAAACATTTTCATTTATCACCTTCGAAGTCCGATTATTTAAATTCTATAAAGACTTATTTTATAAAAATCTAAAAAATTATTATTTTCATAACGTAATATTTTAGTAGTGACAAACTTTATTTACGAAACAATTTTATTGCCTTGTCTTTCTTTTTTCAGCCATTGTAGCACTGATTATGTTGCCATATATCAAGGATCTACTCCGTCGAGTCCACTTTTGAGCACTGTGTGCGCCAATCGCAAAGCGCGTTTCACATATTCTGGGCCTAAACTGCTCATGGAGTTCAGGTAACATTCAAATTTTACGTTATGTAACATTCGTGAATATTTTATACATCAAATGTTATTAAATTGCGTGACAGGTTAATTAAAATGCACAATATTAATACTCAAATATTTACAAGTTGATTAATTTTCAGCTCAGGAAACCTAGTCCCACCGTACGACTACAACGGATTTTTAGCAACGTTAGAGTTCACTGAGAAAATCACGACGCCCGAACCGCCTCCTGACCTGAGCGCGCGACATACGGAGCCAAGTGTAATGAGTAAGTCAAGTAAGACATCTGACGTAATTCAGTAGAACATGGTAGTCATTTAGAAACTCTGAGAACCAAATATTTATTATGAAATATAGAACTATAAAATTGAAAATAAAATATTGAAATGAGGAGATTTCTCTACTTTGCCTTGCGTACTGAAAGAATAGACTTGTCTTCAAATTAAACGTTAAAACTTAATTTCTAAACGTTTTATACACTTAGTTATAATTGTAATAACTATGGTGTAACAAAAATATCTCAGTATTTACATTATAATTTCTAAATTCTTTATTATATCTTTTAAATATATTCAATTTGCCTATTTAAATCAGAAGTCACTTTCAAATTGAAGTGATTGACTTCCCACAACAGTCTTCTTAAGATGCGTTTATTAATACTATTTTCTTTCCTTTGTCAATTGTTTATTCATAATAGCTTTCATATGAAATATCGTTGTTTCGCATGTAAAAACTAAAAGATAAGATGTTATGAATTAACCATCAGTAATAAGTATAAGAAACAACCACAAAACTTTTAACAGAATGTATCTGTGAAGTAATATGTAATTAGTTTTAATAATTTAAATTGCACCTACGAGAATCTCATCGAAAATATACCTTTGTCCTTACGACTGAAAAGGTTGACTTTTCTTAAATATATCACATACTACGTATTTTCCGAAGTCTATAAGCCAATTTGCAATATTACGTCATAAAACAAAAAAATTATAACAAGGTTTGCCAATATATGCTTGCTTCAAGCCTACACAACACTTCGTATCCCTCTACACTTTACCCCGCACTCTCGATCGTTCTTTTTATTTCATTCCTCTTTTGCTCTCTCGTTATCTCTTTTTATCGCTCTTTTCTGTCCTTTCCTCTCCTCTCTCTCTCTCTTTCTATCGCTCTTTCTCTCTCTCTTTCTCTCTCTCTTTCTCTCTCTCTTTCTCTCTCTCTTTCTCTCTCTTTCTCTCTCTTTCTCTCTCTCTTTCTCTCTCTCTTTGTCTCTCTTTCTCTCTCTTTCTCTCTATCTTTCTCTCTTTCTATATCTCTTTCTATCTCTCTTTATCTCTCTTTCTGTCTCTCTTTATCTCTCTTTCTGTCTCTCTCTCTTTCTGTCTCTCTCTCTCTTTCTATCGCTCTTTCTATCTCTCTTTCTCTCTCTCTCTCTCTACTCTTTCCTTTCTCATTTTCTTCCTCTATCCTCTCTACTCTCTCTTTGTATCTTGTTTTATCCGCCTTTTCACTCTCTCCTCTTGCTCTGTCTATCCTCCTTCTCTCTCTCTCTCTTATTCTTTGGTTCTTTGTCTCCCCCGTCTCTTCGCCCTGTGAGAGCCGCGCGCGCGTGCGCAGTGGACGGGACGAGCGCGCCCCGCGTGCCGCCTCCGCCGCCGCCGCAGCGCTCGGGCTGCGACCTGCTCTTCTCGGGGAACAGCACGCGCTCGGGCCACTTCGACACCAAGGGCGCGCCCTGGAGCCCCGCCTGCGCCCTCGCCTTCGTCGGCCGCGCCACCGACATCGTCCACGTCTCGCTCTTCAACTACCAGCTCAGGTGATTGCGACGCACTACGTTACATTTATGTACTCTAACAAAAAAAAACAGTCAAAACTATATGTGACGGATGGGGGAGAATATCATCTGCGCACGTTTTCTTGGGTTCCAGAGTCACATCCCTCCATAAATAGTTGAAAGATGAGTGAAAGTTTAATATAAAATAAATAGAAATGATTTTTTTAAAGCGCAAGAATAGCGACATTTGAAAAAAATAGACATTTTCGTTCCCGAATTATAGAAAACTTATTTGCAGCGATAAACGAATTGCAAATATGATTTTTCTGCATTGCTAACAAAATAGTAACTCGCCTTTACTCGCCCTTACTCGCCCTTACTCGTCTTACTCGCCCTTACTCCTACCATAATGGTAGCAAAGGTAGAGGTCAACAAAACGTGCGCATAGTGAAGCTACATTTACGTTCTGAAGCAAAGATTTTGCGTTGAATTTTTATTATTACACATTTGATATATATCACATGCATCGCCACACTTGACCTTTGTCAATTAATGCTGTTTGCAAGAGTCTCATTATTATTTGTAAACTCTTTTGGAAATAGTATTCAAAGAAATCACATTTTCCGGCTCAAAAACAGAAATTAAATGTTGAAAAATGTATACTAAGTTGTACCTCTATTTGCAGGATGATACTTTGTTGTTGTGGTTGTTGTTTTTTCTTTGTAAGTACATGCAAATACCACACAGTATTGTATCTACACGACATATTCTCTGTTGAAAAACATTCGATTTAGTTATGTATTGTTTCCATAACATGTAATGTTAATATTACTGTATACTAGCATCATTTTGTGCTAAGTATTACTTTTACTCGTTTTATCTTATTTCAAACAAAATAACGTATTTCTTCAAAAAGTCCTTAAGTCGAGACAAGTGAAAATAAAAAAGTGTTTCCCGTGTTTACACCACTTGCATTGTATTACTTGCGCAACTTTTCATGAACGATCGATTGAAGAAATGCGGGGAGAATGGGGTATTAGTTACATAATCGGCCACTAGATTTTATGAAGCAATGTCAATCTCTGGAGGATGTCATGCCTTCACAACTTTCTCAATGATTTGCGTTCTAACTTTCGCAGGTGTTGGGTTGCAAGGTCATCGTTCAAGAAAAGATGCGCAAGTAATACCACTTAATGACTAGCAACCTCGTGACTCGTAACCTAGCAACTTGTTTCGTGGTTAGGCATGTCTGAGCCTCGCCACTAATAAAGACAATTTATTATTATTATTATTATTATTATTATTATTATTATTATTATTATTATTTCTCAGCAACTTGTGCTGGGTTCAAGTTCTTCATTCCTGCCACGTTAAGGAAAGAGCTCGTTCTCTTGGGAGAGAGATTTCACTCTGAGCCCCAAGACCGATGATGATGATGGTGATGATTATTATTATCATTATTATTATTTCTCAGCACCTGGTGATGGGTTCAAGTTGTTCATTCCTGCCACGTTAAGGAAAGAGCTCGTTCACTTGGGAGAGAGATTTCTCTCTGACCCCTAAGTCCGATGATGATGATGATGATGATGATGATGGTGATGATTATTATTATCATTATTATTATTTCTCAGCAGCTTGTGCTGGGTTCAAGTTCTTCATTCCTGTCACGTTAAGGAAAGAGCTCGTTCACTTGGGAGAGAGATTTCACTCTGACCCCCAAGACCGATGATGATGATGGTGATGATTATTATTATCATTATTATTATTTCTCAGCAGCTGGTGATTGGTTCAAGTTGTTCATTCCTGACACGTTAAGGAAAGAGCTCGTTCACTTAGGAGAGAGATTTCACTCTGACCCCCAAGACCGATGATGATGATGGTGATGATTATTATTATTATCATTATTATTATTTCTCAGCAGCTTGTGCTGGGTTCAGTTTGCTCATTCCTGCTACGTAAAGGAAAGAGCTCGTTCACTTGGGAGAGGGATTTCACTCTGACCCCTAAAACCGATGATTATTATTATTATTATTATTATTATTATTATTATTATTATTATTATAATATTATTTATATATTTAATTTCTCAGCAGCTTGGCTGGGTTCAATTTTGTTCATTTCTGCCACGTTAGGAAAGAGCTCGTTCACTGGGAGTGATATTTCATCTCTGACCCCCAGACCGATGATGATGATGATGATGCATGAGATGATGAATTATTATTATTATTATTATTATTATTATATTATATTATTAATTATTATTATTTCCTCTCGTGGTCGGCGAGGCCTGCGCTGACAGTGTTTGGCGGCTGGCGCGTGTTGCAGCGCGGCCGTCGTGCCAGACGTGCGTGGGAGATGTACGACGGCTATGCGAGGACACGGTCAAGCCGCGCCGCCGCTCTGCAGCCCGCTCACCAAGCGCGCGCAGGACCCCAGCGGCCGTGCGTACCCCACCCGACCCCACCCCACCCCACCCCATTTACTAGAGCCTTAGGTCAACTGCTTTGCAAGCGTCTTATTGAAGAGCTTCGATTCAAAACTGGCGCATCTCCATCTCACCAAGCGGCGCCAGGACCCCAGCGGCCGTGCGTACCCACCCGACCCCATTCCCTCAGACCCCACCCCATTTACTAGAGCCTTAGGTCAACTGCTTCGCGTCGAACAGCGTCTTATTGAAGAGCTTCGCTTCAAACTGGCGCATCTCCATTTCCGTTTGGTTTCTAGTTTTCGAAACATATTCGTAACACGCTACTGCCTCGTGCTGACAAACATTGCGTTCGAAAATGGGTTCTCTTTTGTTAAACGGCAACCGAAAATTGTTGGGTTCTATCTTGAATTGTAGAGCTGAATTTGAATGCGTTTCATTCCCGAAAAAGTGTGTTGCGTGGAGATAAATCGCTTCGAAAATTCTCTCTTCAGTTGAAGGGTCATTTGAACGAGGGGCTATCCTTCAATGACATAGATCTGAAATATTGAGGGGCTATATAGATCTGAAAAATTTTCCTGGGCTTTCACAGTATAACTCAGTAGTTTTTGAAACTTGTAAACGTGCATACGAGTCGCAAACGTGCATACAACTTTTAAAAGTACATACTTGATTTAAATAACATATTACACTATATTTTAAGTTTTATATAATGCTAATAACTCAATTTCACTAAAAATGTAGGATAATCTCATGTTCTACTGAGTTCTTAAATTATATTCTAATTACAAATAAGAAGGGATATCTACGGCACTAATGAACGTTAATCGCATGAGCGAGCTATCCAAAGACAATAATGAGCGTAGCTATCCAAAGTGAAAGTGAATAACTTTTATGCGTAAAATTGAGAATTAAAAATGTGCAAAAAATACTAATAACTTAACACTTCTGGTAATCTATTTGACCTGATTTGCAAGTCGTTTTTATGAGCTAATGTATCATCCAAAAGGTTGCCAAAAGAATTCTCAATGACACTCACTCATGCACTTTACTTTAAGTTGCTAAATAGTATATTATGCGTCTGTATTGAATAAGGGGAGACATTTGGAGCGAGATTTCAAATTTGAACTAATCCAATTAATCAACAATATAAAGGAGTTTCATACATTATTTGTTGTAAAAGATCATTATAAAAGTATAAGAGAATCAAAGTTTATTGTTTGCATGCAACTTTACGATGACGTCCCGGTTTTATGACGTCAGTACGAAAAAACTGTGATTGGCTGTGCAGTTTATCGTCACTTCCCCTGATTCGCTCGCTGCGATTCGCCGGGCTGCACGCTTTACCGCCACCTTTCCGCGATTCGCTCGCAGCATTGCCTGGATGTACGTTGACGTAATTATTCGTGCCATAAACTGCTAGTACGTCATAATATGTTCCATGAAATCGATTTAATATACGATTTCTGGCAACAAAAAAGGTCAACTACTATAACGCTAGTAAACAAAACCTAGTTTTACGAACGGGGATGAAAATAAGTTCGATTAGCGCACACACTCTGATGCTATAAGAATCTTCAGTATAGTATTGCTATTCTAATGGATTGGTTATAGCATTAGTTGCATTATGACTTCATTAAAACACGTCTCTTCAAATATGGGAGGGGGTTTCTTAAAATAAAATAATAACACTAGAACTATCTTAACTAGGATATTTATGAAAAATATTAATAGAAATTATAATTGGCAAATAAGTGTCCTCAGTAGCCGTCCTCGCTGCCCGTCCTCGCTGCCCGTCCTCGCTGCCCGTCCTCGCTGCCCGTTATCGCTGCCCGTTATCGCTGCTCGTACTCACACCGGCGTAGGTAGAAATTTGAATTAACGCTTGATACATCATAACCAAAACTTTTATCTTCAATGAAACGTTCATCATTTATTTTAAAACATGTTCACAAAATTATTACGTTCGTGCTGTTAAAGATCTTAAGCATCTTCTAATATCTAAAATTTATTTAATGACAGTGTCTCAGTGTTGCCTAAAATTGTATTGGATATCAAAACGAGCCAATACGCTAACGGTACGAGGGAGATGGAGGTTGCAACGTGCGAGTAATCTTGGATTTCTATGTCACAAGGAATATGGAATGTAATATCCTAATTCTACTTTAGGCGGTATAGCTTACTATCTTATAGTGTTTCCACTACATGTTGAAATTTCAACCCATGTTGTAATATGGATCATGATTTTATGAGAATAATGTGCAAACTATTTGTATTTTTATCAGGTTGTGTATAACCACATGCATTAAAGCTTTAATGAAAAGCAAATTTTACACGCAAAACTGTAATCATCTGTGCTTTCATTTTCTCTTTTTAGTCCCTCCCCTCTCTCTGTTAAACAAATTTGTAATCCTTCCATATTCGCCACATTTTTAACTGCATGCAGTAAATTACAGTATCTCAATTGTGGCACGTACATAATTTTACGTTCATAGAAAGGTCTAGATATATTATTAATTTTGTTTCATGCATTTATGTTCTTTAAACAGAGCCACTTCAAAGGAATGTAAATAGATTTTATTTTAAATAATGAATTCAATATATTTTGTGTATAGTTCCCACCAAACAACTAATGCTTTCGACTATTTGTAATCTGTTATTTGATGCATTTTTTTAATTATAGATGAATAGCGTACGTAGCGATTTGTTTTGAAGTCAACCTTACTAAATGTTGTCCGGTGTGATTCTGCTTGTCTAAACGCAGGTTCCTAGAGCAACAAACATTCGTATCCTCTGATAACGTCTTGACCCTCGTGCTCAGACGACCTTCACCTTCATTGTCTCCCAGTGAGAAAGAGTTTCTTAACGGAGCGTTTCTGTTCCACGACGGTTAGTATCCACGTCACTCCACGTTCTCACTTGTACTTGTAGCCGCACGCTCCCTTGTGAATGCACAACATCCTCCTTAAAATGCAACTACCCGATAGAATAGTGTTGTCATTCAAATCACTTCATTTCCTTCCCTGCAGTAGAGAATATCCATGTAGCGTATATTACCTTCCGATGTTGTGACGTGAACTAAAGTTGTTGATTTCACAGAACAAGTCGACGGCACACTGCGGCCTGACACTTTGTGTGATGTGGATTACTATGGGTTAAGCAGCCCACGTGATGGGCACCTGACTAACCCAGGAAGCCAGCAATTGTTTTGGAATTTTGAAGGCCCCTTGCGGTGTTCTCAGAGGTTCATTCCTGCAGCGAATCAAAGTGTTACTTTGACGGTAATATTATCTTTAAGTAACTTTTGCTATTATTAATCCGTATATATCAATTATTTCATTCGAGACACATTTCAATTCCAAATGTTGAGGAAATAAACATGTGAATTTCATGTTTTGAGTTTATGTTTCCTTCATGAAATTGTTGCATTCACTTTCATTAAGGACACTTTTACTCAACTAATAGATGCCATCGAAAAATTGTGGCATTTATTTATTGCAATTGCGGTTTATCGAAGACATTTTTTTCTAACAAAATATTTCAAATTACCTGCCAACCTAAAGTGCATGATCCCTCAAATGTTCGTCGTTATTTCTTTATGTCATGCGATAAACTATATATCTTGACAGAAAGGAAGTATGCGTGTGAATTTTCCAGGTGACGTCCCTTGCACGACTATCTGCGAACCCGAATTGTCACACATTATGCGGAGACAGTGGCTGTCGCTGTGTCACCAAAGTTATACCATTGACACAGATGGATCATCTCGCTATCATCACCGACCAAGGCCACGTTGTCTCCTGCCTCTGCGGAGATTTTCAGGTACAAAACGAATATGCGTTTGCTGTGTTAAGATCACATTTAAAACAGTTATGTTATGGTAAGCACTTCAGACAATTATATTTGTGTAATTTTATGTATTATCCACACACGATTTTTTGAACCTTCATTTCGCTATATTTGATAGGAGTGGGCGGGTTGGTCATATATCAAATCCTGATGCAAAACACTCTCTGTGACAAGGAAACGAATATTTTTGGTCATTAAATTTTGCCAACACTCGTTGCATTATTTATGCTTAATTTAACTAAAGTTCGTAAAGCAGTAGGCGAAAGTATTCTGGGTCTTCAAAGGTGTGCGCGTTTAATTCTATCCTAAATGCTGAATGTTTCAGAGGGAAAATATTGTCTTGCTAAACTGGTATTTCTACCTACCACAGAATTTCCTCCATTTGACCAACTCCAATTATGTTTACTTCATCAGATTCCCATCCTTCAGTTCGTGCTAAAAAATTATAAAATATATTATTTCGAATGCGTTATTTAAAATAGTTCTTGTCCTTATCTTCTGTCAAGCAATACCGATTTCAATCAATCTCATTAGAATTGGAAATAGTCAACCCACAAAGGTTATTTAAATCATGACAGCGAGTAATTCCACCGATTACATAATCGATGGAATGCCAATACAATGAAGTATTTTATTTATTTTCAGCAACAATGGCTACCTGTAAGTTTGCGTAGTTGGTCGCCAATGAGACTAGTGTACTCAGTAGCGCATTACAATTGGAACATGCAAGGATTCTCATTCACTGCTGAGTATTCGTTTATTACTGACGCTGTCTGTGGATACTCCCGTATAATGGAAGACTCGGGTAAGTCAGCTTCCGGATGTGACGTTCAGAACAAAAATGACACACACAGACAACAGACAGAGGGTGTCTAGGGAAGCAGTTTTCATCACGTCTTTGTCTTAAAATCTTGTTCTTAAGGGTGTGATTATAAATGCTGGAGTTCGGTGTAAGGGTGTGTCATATAAAAAGCTGTCTGTCCTTCTGCCTCACTACGTATAGCCACTACTTCAGGCAGACCTTACAGTCGGTAATTTTGCGGCAAACGCGCGACAAATAAATGTCAGATTTTAGGGAGGTCCTGCAAAATGAATCACGATTTCTATGTTGCACTCATTATCAAATTAAATTTAACTGCCAAATATTCAGTTATTCTGAATTCGAATATGAAAATGTAACTCGGAAATAATTATTTATGTGAGAGAATCCGTGTACCCTGCTCCTAAACTGTGATGTTTTCTAGAGACTCCTACCGCAATTTTAAAGTCCGTACGTTCTACATTATCCTACTTAGCCTAAAATAGTGACCTTCGGCCCAATTCGATAGCGCGTTGATATGACTACGTCGAAGCGGAACAGATATTTTTTTATGTAGCCGAGCGTTGTGTTGTAGACTCGTGGATACTGTGTTCATTGGCGAAAACTGCTTCTCTTATATCACCTATCTGTTCTGTTCTTCCTAAAACGTTATGTTAAACATACGCAAAATTGTAATAATGATTTTTATAAGCTTCTGGTCAAAAATTTTAAGTTTAGTTTCTCCATAAAATGATGATTTTTCACATTCCCAATTTTCTTCCCCGAAAATTAAAACGAAAAGCGTGCGTAAAATCAGTGTCATTCAGAATAAATGTTGCATATTTCTAGGGCATGTAGTAGGATCGATGATCATTTTCTATCAATCAGCATGTGGTTACGCATATGCAACTTTAAATCCCCCCCCCTGATTGCTAAGCCGATCATCCCGCACTGGTGTTTGGCAGGTATACGAAAGCTCTTTGACTTCATAATAACAGGCACCATGACACGTCTAACGTGTATTTGCAATGTTTATTCTGAACCAACCTGTGTATTTATGTATTATTAAGTTATCATAGTAAACAAGAAACTATTAATGTTCGAGTATTCTGAATTCTGAATTAATTCGTCGTAGGAGAGATCCACTCAAGAAACATATCTGCACCAGGAGTTAAGTTAAACCACTACTACCATCAGGATTGTATTTGGCTCTTGGACTCAAAATCTGAGCGTCAGCTCACAGTAGAATTGGCCACAGAACAGAGCAGTAAGTATACTTATAAATGGTTGGTACTTAAAATGGCGAAAACGTGAATTCAACCTCAAATTTGGCGTTCCAACACATGGATAAAATTAACAATTCTGTAACAGTTTCAAGACATTTTGGGGGGTAATAGGAAAAGAAATCATTTTGTCATAATGTAAGTAAAATTAAAACTTATGGAAGACGATATTTTGTTTATTTTAACTTCCACACAGAGTTCAAAATGTGACAGTATGTGTGAGTATACTTTAAATATTATTGTTTGCAGGACCCTGTACAGCTTGGAATCTGACAGCTTACAAATATGATCCAAGTTCCACCGATAGTTTCGGCGAAATAGTGCACACTTTCTGCCCACGAGATAGACGAAAAGAAATAGCTCTACCATGGAAATTGGACACCATATTACTGAGGTAGGTGGAATCTGAAAGACATCATAATCATTCAATCAAAAACATGAAACAACGTTCTAAATTTTGAAAAAAAGAATAGTGGGAAATTTGTCAAAAATAAAAAAGTGTTAAAGTACCTAAGAATGGCAAACACATATAGAGTGAGTCATTTCATGTGGAAAATCCTCACCATCTATTCGTCAATTAGATCAGGGTTGTCCAACTGACGGCCCGAGTTGCCATTTGTTGTGGCCCGGAAAAGGTTACACTGGTGTACAAAAAAATTGTTTTTCTTTATCAAGAACAAAACCCGCTGTTTCTGAAAGATAATTTCCTTCTCAATCCAGATCCAATTTCACAATTTCTGTTTCGGTCACAGTTTTCATGTGATGATCGTCTTTCGCAAATGTGTATGTCTCCTTATGTGGCAAAATGTCACACTCTAATAGCAAACAAAATGTATATATTGTGTATCATTTGTATCTTGTGTATCAAATGTATACACTTACTACAACAACATAAATGTTAAGAATAGTAAAGAAACATACCTAAAATTATTTCCTTCCCAATTTCTTGCGATATTTCTTCCAAATTTCTTGCATTGCCTCATCATGCCTTTGCAAGAATCGGACATAGAGTCACTCAAATTGCCTTGATAACGCTTTCCCACTTGAAAAATATCCCCGTGGAACCCATAACGAACTCGATATCACTACAAAAAAACTGTCACTTTTCGTGGAGAAATATTTTGAAAAAACTACTTGGTGATCACGAATACACTCAGTTTCGAACAGGGGACAAGAATATTCCATTGCGACGTCGTGGGTTGGAAAAATCTCAGACAAGATGGATTTGGTATAAACAGAATTAATTTACGTGTACATATATATATATATATATATATATATATATATATATATATATATATATATATATATATATACATATATACATACATACATACATACATACACACACACACATAAGTGCCATACTATTTACTGCAGGAACATTTGCTCCCTCTTAGTGTCCGCTAACTACCGAATGCATTGTTAACATGGACCTGGCGCTCATGCCCGTAAACATAGGGACCTCCCACGCACCCTGGTGTGCTCGCGACGTCTAGCGACAAAAGTTGAATAACAATGCTGCCCTTTCCCAGTTCCACCCGCCTTTATCGCGTTATAAATAGTTTAAACCATTGAAGACGTGACTTGTTAACTATGAACTTCAAACGAACTACTCGTACAGTCCCCCCCCAACACTTTCTATCACTTCACGTCTTAATTAACTTATATTTCACTTCATTGCACAACACAATAACACTTAAATGCAAGCAACATTAAACACTGTTAAACTAAGTGTGAAATATACTAAGAAACCACATTCCAAAAATGCTACAATAGAATGTAAAGTAATGAAGATACAACTATGGAAATAAATTCTATAATAAAATTAAGAACATAATTGCGCCAGTCACTCGAAACTATGGCGAACGATCACGATCCAGATGCAGAGTTTAGCATGTTTTGTACCGTGAGCATTCTAACCTTCCTACACCAGAGTATCGTGGTGAACTTTCTTATACCACCCATCAACACAAATGTCAGTTAATGTACCCTTGAGAAAAGTTATGTGTGCTAATTCAATATAGCTCATCCACATTGTATGGTGATATCTGTAAACATTAATAGATAATATGGAAGTAGATAATTCGCTACTAGGTGTAAGAACTATTGAATATTTTCATACTAAAACATTCCATTGTATAAAATATTAAGATCTCGAACGAAAAATAATTAACTCCCGCCATGAAACTACAAGACAGGCAATGTGTATTTTGGCGAAATGTCCCCAATACAAGCATGATTAAAACCACATCACTATTTGTATTATTACAGTGTACATTCTGTAGTTCTGAAAATATTGGTAACAATTTTTGCCAACGCAAAACGAAACGAATATACTCTGTATCGAGTGTGAGTACATGTGCTCAGGTAACAGTGACCCTTTGTACAATTTGTATTTTAGTGCCCATTCTTAGGGTACCAGAGCAGTAGCTTCGTACTCCTCTGTATGCCTACTGATACATTTTAACGGTTTATTATCCGAAATCAATGGAAGAAGAAGTGAATATTAAAGAAAACAGGCTGAAGTGCAATTTTTACCACGATGATATTTCAATAAATTATTTAAACTTATTTATTACCTCATGTTCGACATTATTGCCTGTCAGAGACGTTAAAATTTGACATATAAAAACTTTGTCAAACATTCTCACGCTAATTGTCCTGATTTTTACATGCTGTTTTCACAGCATAATTTTATATTTCTGTGTAACTCTTGAGAAATTTGGGCTTGCAACTCGTCTTTGAATATTATAGGTGGAAGTTATAATTTTGTGTGATCGGATGTTGGGAATTAATACTGTCGAATATTTATGGGGGTCTGAATTGGCCTTTTTTTGGGAAATCGTGGGCACATGCCGATAACTTTTCGTTTCCATATTGCAGGTTACGCGCCACAACGAGCACCGCTCCAGAATACGTCATTCGATGGAGATCTGAGACAGTACGCGCCAACACCAGAATCGCTGGCCCAACCATCGCTCCATCCACCGCTTCAGAAATTTGGGTGATTTCGTGGTACGCCCTGCTTCTCATGCCACTTTGGTCCCGCACATAAATGAATTCGCAGAAAGACCTATAACCATGTGCCTTCAGTGACGTACTGCAAACAAACATTGACAGTTAGTGTTTTGTAAATGAAGACTTTTTTATCTGAAGAGACACCGTGATTAAAGTGCTGTTATTCGACGAATTAAAATATCTAAAGAGCGTTTGTGTAGAAAACATTACAGAAAATTGCCATCGTAATGAAAAAACGAATTATATAGTGTTCAAGAGAGACTGTTGGATTTATAATGCGAATTTAAGTTGTTATCTAATTTGTAAATCTCAGGAGACACACACAAGTGAAATAAAAACTATTGTTGAAAGTGGAATGAAAGTGTTTTTAAAAGTCAATACACATGGTGTTTAATGTTTACGTATGTAAAGAGCTGCGAGTTATCGTCGAAAGAAGACAAAAGGAAAAAAATCGGATGTTGGTGTTTGTTTCGAATTTGCAAATGTCTTCAATGTACCTTGCATTTGCAAGAAGGTTTCAAAGTAATAAAATCTAGGAAGATGTTATGCCTTTCCATAAAGATCAGTACGTGAATTTATAAACCAGTGTGGCATAAGATCAAATGTCGGAATTTAACAAAAAAAATGAAAATGTTTGAATATGAGTAACGTTTATACATTATAATTTAAAAATAATTCTCATGTTGATCGAAATGGACCTTGAAGGAGTATGGTACATAACAACCCAAACATGTTTACAATTGGTTTTTAGTTATTTACATTTAATGACATTTTTTATTCAGAATATGTTTTTGTTTTTTTTTCTTTAAAGCCGAAAATAAATATTTTAAGAACGTTCATAGAGATATGTCTTAAATTCTTTAATTTAAAACGTCTTCGATATCGGAAAAAATTTTATCTTCAGTATTGTTTTAAAACATGTAAATAAAAAAATCGTTGTATCAGACATAATATTTGTGTTAATTTTTAAATTCATATTATTTCCTTATCCAATACTCTCAAAGTTAATAGACAGACGTTGAAAGAACTCGTAAAAAGAGTGTCAGACTGTGCACTATTCTTAATAACCCTAAAGAATAGAACATATTTTAAACAATTGAAGGTAGTTCTTTGCAGATGTGGATGGACGGGAAAACAGATGATCAACATACACAGACACACAACAAACAGATGTTTCCCAAACACCTGTCCCATAACATTGTTTTTCAAACATAAATATCGAATTGTTACACTTACAACATGTACCAAAGAGACGACAAACTCACAATTCCAAAAATATACACCTCTTTCACCCAGCTACCGAACACATCGAGCCGTTTGTTTATCGCGCGGAGAGGACGGGATGAAATATGGTCCCTCGGAAAAGCCAAAACAACGGGCGGTCAATGGCTCTCGCGTTCGACAGTGCTCCAGTGCCCACCCGCGTCCCACAGAGGTTGAACAAGCAAAGGCCACTTGTGACCCCCGCCCCGCTCTGATAAACGCGCCGCAACCCGCCCATTTCAATCAGTTTTGTAATCGCGTTTCCAGTCGGTGACCGCGTATCTGAATTATCAATCGAATGAATCTTTAGCGTACCAGAAGCACGATACGATTTTACTTCTGCTGACCGAGCGATTGGTCAGGAGCACCTACGCGGCTGTAATATCAGCCGTCTGTTCACGTGTCGCGATGTGATAGCACGTAGTGAATTAGAACTCAAGTTGAAACACAATAGTAACTAATTCTATAATAATGTTCCAATCAATTCCGTGGTGGTAGAAGATATCTTGGGGTAATCCATAGAGAAAATAAATAATCGTCCACTTTGATTGTGGACGATTATTTCCTTTCTCACATAATGTTAAAATCGTTGGGCAAACAAAAAAGAGTTTGATATTGATGATAAATTTACCCTATCCATCTTCCTCTTCTATTTCAAATTTTGATTTTTGCTGCCGTTGAGTGCTATGTTTTCGTGCACAAATTACCACTCGATAGTTTAAGATAAATATTTGTTCGAAGGACTCATTTTTGAAAATTTTAAAAACTGAGTTTCATCAAATTCATTCAGATTGTTCACTCGTCACACCATTCATGAATATGCACTTTTCTTTCCAACTCTCAATGGTTATTACTTGATTGTCATAGGATCTTCACGCAGCTAGCAAACATCTAGCTTGTATTGTGATTTTATACTTTTTTTAGATATTATCTTATTTTTCTATAATATAAAAAATATGTTTAACCTCTGAAACAATGTGTTAAATAAGACATTGTACTAGTAGTCAAATTTTCTAAAAAAAATCAAAATAATAATTAAAAGAGAAAAATGATAAATATTGTAACACTTTTGTAAAAAATGCTAATCTTCACATAAAAATGCAAATTTGTGCAGAAAGAGACGGAAAAAATGCCCAGATAAACCCATATTGAGGAAAAATGCGGAGAACCCATGTATGTTATGTCCAGGAAAGTGACTGGACGACATGTGATGACAGTTCACTGGTATTCATTTATTGTGGCATTTTATTAAAGTGATAACAAATATTTCTCACGAAATAGAGTGTGTGTTACAAACGAACTGAAATATTTTAATTACACACGAAAAGTGATGATATTGCACAAGCGCAAGCCTATCCCTTTAAGCTTTATCATAATATAAATTCCCAAGGGTGGCAATGGCACACATATTTAAATTGGTTTTTGACTCACGTAGTTAGTTTGGATGCTGAATTGAACGCATCGTAATAGATTTTCTCCCTCAGGAGGTTTTCATCTTTACTAAAACATTTATAAATATAACTTACAAAATAGTTCCAGACAATCCTTAAAGTACTAGTGCTGACTACAATGAGTTTTCTTCATATATGAGAAAACCTTGAACAAAAATAGGATTAAAGGTAAATAAATTCGAAAAACATGGTGATATCAATAGTAAAAACATATTACAATTATATATTGATATTATAAAATGTTTTAATATTAGGGATCAAATATTGAGCTCTATAATTATCAAAAATGTATTAGAGAAAGTACAAATTAAAGCACAATTGCTTTCGGCGTTTGTTAAAGCAGATAATCTTCAGGAAAAACGTGTGAGCTAGTGAATAAAGTTTCCAGGTTCGTGAATTGCTGAGGGCGTTAGTTCCGCTAATGTAGTGTAGTTTTCCTTCCCTGCTAGATGGTGAGATCATACGACCACCAATACGTCGGATTGGGGGGGATTTCTCCTCCAGATTCCTCACCGCCCAGCTCTAAGATCCCGATTGATCTCCCCGACGTGTGATGTTCTGCATGAAAGTGTGTGTGTGTGTGTGTGTGTGTGTGTGTGTGTGTGTGTCTGTGAGTGAGTGTAAGGGGAGAGGGTAGGGCAAGGTTGTGGAAAGAAAGATCGCCCGCGGTCCGTCTCCTTTTTTTTATGTTTCTGCCCCACCATCCGTCTGGTATTGATCGGGAAAAAATGAAGGAAAACTACCGATCAGAGCAGCCGGATGCTAGAATTCTCCTCCAGACTGCGGCTGAATTCGATCTAGCTTTCTAACTAGTGTGAAAAATCCATCCAATCAGGACTCAAACTCTACAATCTGATAGCTTAGGGACGCTACAAAGTGAACAGTAGTATTGGTTCTGAATAGTTTCAGTCAGCTTGTTGGTTAGTGAAGTACACGTATATGGAGTTTTGAACAGCAGCTTTGACAGATGGAGGAGAATATGGCAATACGTGTGGGGGAGCTACTACGCGCAATAAGAAAATTGGAATGAGGGTAAGGAAGCGATAACGCAATGCAGAATAGAATTCGGGTCATAGAGCGCGTAGCGATTCAGCATAGAAGAGAACCTAGAGAAGTGATGACGAATAAAGATGAAGAACGGAATACGCGTAGAGGAGCAAAGACGAAAGAGTAGTAAAATATATCTATAAGAAGCGATGACATGTAGAGAATAAGGATGTAATCCACTTATAGGAAAGATGAAGCGTAGAAAAGAATAACGAAATACACCTATTGGAGCGATGACGCTTAGAGGAGAAGGGTGAAATATGCATAGAGGAGCGATTACGCGTAGAAAGTAATAGCGAAATACGCCTTGGGTAGCCGTTACGCGTGAAAAAGAATAGCAAAATACAGCTAGAGGAGCGATGACGCGTAGAAAAGAATGGCAAAATACACCTGTTGGAGCGATGGCGCGTAGAAAATAATATCGAAGTACACCTAGGGCAGCGATGACGTGTAGAAAAGGATAGCTAACTACACGTAGAGGAGCGATGACGCGTAGAAAAGAATAGAGAAATACACCTAGAGGAGCGATGACACGAACAAAATAAATGAAGTCGTAGCCACCAGGGCCAGCATACCAGCCCTGAGGAAGACCACGACAGGATGGTCGAAACGTCGGCAACTCAGCCTTCGACGCGGCGTCACCCGGACAGCCCAGATCACCCACGAACAGAATAAGGATGGAATACACGTAAGGGAGCGATGACGTGTAGAAAAGAATAGCGAAATATACCTAGAGGAGTGATAACAGGTAGAGAATAAGGATGGAATACACCTAGAGAAGCGATGACGCGTAGAGCAGAAGGGCAGAACACGCAGACGAGAGTGCTCGAAATCCGTGCGCCGCGTGAACAGCGGGGGCTCCGGCGAGTGCGGCGGCCTCCGCGCTCATCTCGGCACACGTGCCTTGCGAGGGGAGTCTGCCTCCACCTGGCCCCATGGGGAGCGCCCCGCCCGCCCCTCCCGCCCTCCCCGCCCCTCCTCGTCCCTCTCCCCGCCCCCTCGCTCCCCGCCGCTGCGCGACGCCCGATAAACTTTGTAAGAGGAGGCGGCGGCGCCGCACGAATAATGTTATACGCCCGCAAGAAACCGCAGAGGTAGCCCCGGCGCACACGCCTCCGCCGCCGTACGTGGCCCCGCCCCCTCCCCTGCCTCCCTCGCACACGTCGCACAAGCCGCCGCCGTCACTCCTGTCTGGCTGCGCTGAATTTACAACAAATGCAGATTCACGTTATGAAAGTGATGCTCTTTCTTCGGAGACAACATTTTCTGAAGAAAACTGGGATTTATTTAATCTGCTAATTCCTAATGCTAATAGAAAGATAAAATAATATTGTATTTTCAAGAACTTGTCATTGAGTGTAAAGTACTCCTGCTGTTTCTTAATAAGCCTGTATTAACGCTCTTAGACTGCTGTAAAAATCTAACATTCTCCAGTTTTTTCTGTGAAATCGACAATTTTTTTAAATTTAAGATAAAAATTTAATATGAATTCGTTCCAGCAATGCAGACTCTTAATATTCTGTCCTGCAACTATCAGTTTGTAAGGTATATATTTTTGATAAAGGATTGATTGCAAGCGGTACACTAAAAGACATTCTCTAGAAAGCGAATTACAGTGCTCGATTTGAAGATCAAGTTTTGCGGTTACTTTTTTTAGACGTTCTGAGCTGTAGGAGCGATAAACACAATAACAATTTACGGTGATTGGAGAGAAAATATTTGGGTCACGTGCTTGCAACACGAGTTTGTCGAGCTGAGTGCGAACTGCAGCGGGGTGCTTTTGGAGTCGCTGAAAGTAGCATTTTTTACACAATGTAACATGTCTTTTTTCAATATTAAATTGATACTATTCAATGAATAACCGTTACGGAGGAACTGGACAAAATGTTTAAGAAACTTAGTACACGAGATTGATCCATAATCCTGTATTGAATTCAACATTGATAGCTGTAAGAGAAATCCAATACTGGAATAAGCGCATAACAAAAATTAACGGGAACAATAGTGAGTTAACTTTCTAACGGACATCAAAACTTGGCTTCTATATTAAATTTCAAAATGAATTACTGACTTTTGTTCGCTTATTGTTTCAAAGATATGGAGGAAACTTTGAATCTGGTTGAAAATTCAAGAAACAATAAATGAATTTCTTCACTAAAAACTCTCATCAACTTCTCCTCGTGTAC